GAAAGAGAGACATTTTATGTTCTTGGTCAACAGTCTTTTCATACATGTTTTGCTTATTTAGTTTTATTGAGGTTGATGGGACAATATGACCTCATAGGTTTCCTTTCATACGTAATTTATGAGAACCCTGAAAGGGACCTCCTGGGTCATGGATTCCCAGACAACCATGTTGGATAAGCTCTCATACACTGACCATTCTTCACTGTAAGTCTCACTAGGATTTTTTATTTCCATTACTTCTCTTGGAAGACTATTGTATAACATCATTCCTCTGATGCTCAGAAACCTTCCTGTAAATTCCACCTTGAATTTATTCATGGCCAATTTATTCCCCCGCGCTTTTGTGCTAACATTATCATTATTTGTGGGGGTTTTTTATTGAAATGGCTCTTTTCCCTTCCTCTCTAAATGTGTAAAGGGAAAACATATACCCTTTCTGTTTTCATTTTGTGAAGCCAAACTTGGTAGCGTAAGATGGGTTCTGCATTCCCTCATCGTTGTAGGAACATTTCTTTACACCTATTCCAAGATGAATTCAGTTGTTTCAAAGCAGAGGACCAAAGTCACATACAGTTATCCATGATAAAACCTATACCAGCACAGTATGATGGCATTTTTCCCTTCTTGTCTTAACTGAAAGTACTTTATCTTGTTGCATCTTGGAATCCCATTTGCCCCTATTACTGTGTGATGTACCAGACACTTCACAGTCATGCTGTGAACATTTAAGACACACAGTTGTTTTGGTTTTTTTCTCCGCTGCAATTTTTAGTTGATCTGCATTCAGATTTACAAGGAACTCCTGCAGTTAGCTGCTGTGTACGTGACCTTGCACTTGTGTACATCTCATCCGTTTAATGTTTCCACTCCTGAAGGTTCTCTGGCTTTTCCTTCACAGTGTTAAAAGCTCTCTAGGTATTCATAACGCTACTCAGTGGTGTACATTCAGCAAATGTTAACATGCTGTTATCTTTAATTAACGATTAGTGAACATTTTGAATAGCTGTCGTTTATGATACTGCACTAGTAATTTTCTGCGTTATTTGCCTTTGTTTCCCTTTTACCCAGTTTCTTACCTATCATAAAATTCATATGCAGTCTTTGTTTTCTATGATTTCATTTGCTTAAGTGTCAAGTCCCCTAGCAATCCTTCACATTTTCTGGTGACAGAGAAAGAAAGATAAGTCGGTAGGCATCACCTACATTTAGTTTTAATTTAGTCTATATCTTTAATTATTTTTCCTTCTCTCACTTCCTCTCCCACCTCCTCAGTTAGGCGTCTGCTGAGGCCTACTATCACTTTCTCCTCCTCCTTACATATATATGGGTGTTTGGATGTTCCACAGCATTATGGTCCCTACCTGATAGAACAGTTGCCAGATTTTGCCTCTGGATTTGGAATTTCTGAGGAAGTCTCCCAACAGTGTCAGCATGTTGAGTTTTACTTCTAAATGCAACAGAGTGATTTCTGTTCTGTTTTCTGCCCCTGTGTTTAACCTCTTCATCTTTATTGAAAACAATTTACTGAGGCAACGGATTTATTTAATTTTTTGGGCTACATATAGGTTAGCTTCAATATCTATCCAGTCCTTAGTTTTTCTTTTTTGATTCCCTTTTTGCCTCTGTGGCTAAACAACCTTCTACTATTTGTTTTAATTTCCTTTCCAAGGTCTAACTCAGCTTGACATTTTGGCGGTTCTCATCGTATCCCAGTATTACCTGACCCCTAAAACAATTTTTTTTTTTTTGGCATTCTTTTTTTTTTTTTTCCCTGTTCATTGTAGAATTCTGCTTACCCTAGTGTATTTTGGGAGGCAAGGGGAATATGTGTGCATCTGTGTGAGCAAGGGAGAGCATTCACATAGTTTAGTCTGAGAAGCCCTTTACTTCAACATTTTTCACTTTGAAGTAAAAGACCCAAAATCACTTCTTCCATCTTTTTCTTTTACATTCCAAGTGTCCTCCTCACACATCAAGTCTCTTTACTTTGGCTTAGAGAAGTAGTGCATACGGTTTGCAAAGTTTGCTCCTCTAGCATCGAGAACCCCACTTTTGATTATCCCTTCCATTTAATTTCAACTGAGGCACCCTATGTCTACTGAAAGTGGGTTACTTACTACACCGACCTTTCCTGCAATGTCCCTGCTGCTTACCGAAACACAGTCTAAAATAACCTCATTTCTGGCTGGTTCAGTGACTGGGCTGTTAAGCAGCATGTCAGCTAGCACATGCAGGAATAATTGGGCCCTACTGTTATTAAATAGCATTTGTTCTCCAATGTATATCCATGGATATAAGTTATTTCCATGTGGTTGGACAGTTGTTCTGGCTGCACAGTTACTTGGCCCTTTGATTCAGTTAAGAATTATCTTTATGTATTGTAAGAAATATTAAGCACACATCAGGAGCCAACTGATATTCATTAGCCATATAAGCATGTTGCAACAACTATATTAAACTGCATGTGATGTACATTACATATTATGTATGAATAGCTTTTATACCTTTGGGATAGTTCGGAGAATCTATTTTTAAAAATAGCTGTATTTCAGCAGTTTGGTTACAGAGGAAATGAGGCTTAGAACTGTTCAGTTGCTGGGCAGTGAAATCCTGCTGAGGATCTGATTAATTTCCAGAGCACTGACCAGTGTGTGTATGATGCTTCTGTGTTTAAGTCTTTTCAGCTTCAGAGATTACAACACTCCTTTATTTCACAATCACAGAGGGGCCAGGCAGGCTTGTGCACTGGAACCTGTAGTCTCCTTAGGACCCTTTTTATTCACTCACATTCACATTTTTCTTCATGAAGGTAAGGTGTATTGACAGACGTTGTGTAGGATTATTGCAAATAAAGAAGGGTCTGACATGTATTTCCTATTATGGTGAAGTAATTGCACATTAAGTAGTGATGTTAAAATAAATTCTGAATGGAGGAGAGATTTAGAAGCTTCAGTGGTTAACAGAAAAGCTATGACAGATTCTCTCTCTTGTATTACAAGAGTAAACTGGATATAGTCTGGGCTCTATGATTTAATGATTAAATCAAAATTACATGTTCTTTGTATTAATTGAAAGTCATTGATCTTGTGTTGTAATCGTCATACTGTCCAGTTTGTCAGGACAGGGAGTCTGGCATTGGCAGATGGTGACAGACATCTACAAAAAATATGTGGGCTCTGCCACAACTAAACAGCAAATGTTTTGCTGAAATGCAAACATCTTCTTGTAAGTTTTAAAAACTTATTAGATTCCAAAAAGAGGAGAATAGTAATTATTCATTAGATTGTCATTTGAAAATGTAATCACAGCACAGTAAACAGCCTCCTAGAGAGGCTGATCCAGATCCCATTGAAATCAAAAGAAAAGGCTGCTGTTGGATCTGGTTCTAAGAGCTGAGAAATCTAAGCTGCAGACCTGGCTTCTCTGCCAAAGAGAGAGAGGGAGGGGGAAAGAGAGAGATCACAAGCACCATAAACAAAATGAATAAAACAGGATCTTAAATGTATGGTACCATCCAGGTTGCTTGCAAAATCACTCTGTTTGGCACAAAAACTAGGAAGGCCACAGTTTAGATTTCACAGGATATTAAGGACAGGGTAGTAATATCAGATATATAATAATAGTAAAAATACAGTGTTGTAAAATGCTATATATTTTTTTTTCCCTTTTGGAAACATACCAGGAAGTTTTCACCTTTAAACTAAACACATGCTCACAGTTTATGGAAAGAAATACTCATTCTTACGGCCTGATCATGTGAAGTGCCGAGAACCGTTCACTTCCATTATTTCTGAAGGTAGAAGGCACCCAGCACCTGCAGAGTCAAGCTTCTTAACACACTGTTGGATTCAAGTGATGAAGCAGTCAGCAGAACTGTGTCAGTGTTTAACTGTTGCCAAACTGTAGAAACTGATTACTTCCAAAGGTTTTGCACGAACAGATAACAGACTAGATGATGATCCACTTGTGTTGGCAGGTAGCAATAACACTGGAGTTGCTGCACGGGTCCCCAGGAGCATGGGGACCAAAGTCTAGGTTCCCTGGCTGTTAGGCACTACCTTCCGACAGCTGCTCCGTAAAAGTTCTCTGAATAGACTCTGACACCAAAGTCACAATCATGGAAGTTAAAAGCAGGATTTCCAGGTGATTTCTAGAAGTCATTTTTCAGAAGGCTAGGAAGAAGAAAATGCTACCTGTGACACTGCATGATCTCTTCTGAATACTGTAGAGATGGTGTATATTCACGTACAAAGAAGACAATTAAAAACAGAAATCTTCAACTGTCACTGCAGATTCTTCAGTTGTTTGCCAGTCCTGTTTTGGTGCTGTGGTTACGTTATAAAGCCAAAGCTTTAAACTTCCATGTGTGTACGTCATAAAAGTGGTTGACAGCGCAACTTCCTCGCTCTAACATTTCAGAAAAGGAAACTGTCAGATGTCCCTGAGGAAGCCGATGACTCTACTAAGTGTAACAGCAGCAGTGCGAAAACCAAAAAGGTAAGCAAGCCTTGCATTCATGCATGTTTCACTAAAGCATAGATTAATATCCAGTATAAGCACCGAGTGCCTATTTTTCTCCTCCAAAATGCATCAGAAAAACAAATACACAATAGCAGACATGTATTTTATCTCCTTGAACTTTTCGTTTGGGTTTCGTTTGACTTTGATAGTTTTAATGCCCCGCTCTGAGCTCTTCTGCACTGTTACTACTTCAGTGTATTTTATCAGTGAACACTGGAGTGAACCTCACAGACTGACACGTGTTAAGGTGCTCAGATGATGTTTGTAAAGCTGTTTGAGATCTTCAGTTGAGAAGTCCTATGGCTTGGTGATAGCAACTGTTAAATTTCAATTATTTGAAAAAGAAACAAAGATGGCAGCATTCACTTAAATTCCAAGGAATGCTAAGACAGGCATTATTTTTACCTAGAAATATTGCTTGTGCACTTACTTATGTCAGCGTAATGAAGTTAAATCAACACAAGGCTTGCTGATTGCCAGCTCCAGCGCAAGTTTGGAGGCCAATTCAAATCTGTGTCCAGCGGTGCCTGCCACTGTACTACTCCTAGGAGAGCAACAGAGAAGTGAAAAGAAATAGATTCTGTCTGTGTGTGCCAAAGTTTGTGAGGCTTGCGCTGGCTTATTTCTCTGAACATTGAAAGAAAATGAATCCTTCTGCAGTCCTTTGGGAACCAAAAAGGCCCCCCGTGCTGGTCTTGTGACCTTCAGACTAGTGCTGGCTACTCTTTATCCCTTTGCAAAGAGAAGCAGCTGGTGACAGATGCATTCATTCCTCCCCCAAAACCCCCAGAAATTTTTGTATTCAGGGCACATGCTAGTTTTGAAGTGGGAAGGGGATTGCACCCTAAGCGATGCAGTTTAAAATATGCACGTTTCCCCCCTTCCTCCATTATGTACCTATAACTTTTAAACAGAGCATAGAGATAGAAACTGATTGTGGGAGATAATTCATTTTAGCATTAAATGTGATTTACTTCTGAAATAATGAGGTACATTGATGAGAGAATCTGGGAAGCAAAAGATAGCTCTTGGACTCTTTACAGTGTACTACTCTAAATGCTTTGGCAGTGGTTTTGTTTGTATAGTAACTCAGGCGATCGTAGCGTTGTCGCCTATCTCCATCCTATCCATAACCTTCTAGCTGGTCCCAAGTATTGCAGTTGTGAAGTCCTGCAGGCTGAGGAGTATCATAAAGAAAGGTCAGCACAAAGGTTTTTTAATAGGGAAAACAGCTAGAGATTTAAAACGTATCATTTTAAAACGTAAGAAAGAGGCCAGCTCTATAAAATGTGGCTCATAAAATGTATTTTAGGTGTGAAAGTATGGGAAGTTGTCCCAGTGGCCTTGAAGTCCTTTGCAAATGTTAGTTACCTTCTTCATTCTTAGTTCTCCCATCACTTCTCCCTTTGTTTCACTGCCCATGGAGTCTTTGATAATATATCAGTGTGAATTATTCATCATCCGTAATGCAAGGCTGTAATTCAGCCTGCTGACAGCATAATCACGAGATACAGTCGGAGGGGACAGTATGCATCTGTTATATTGCATGCATTATTCCTCATAATGTACACCCAGGGAGTATCCCAAAGTAAACGTTTGAGTTGGGATACCTCATTCTGCAGAAAGGAAAGATGTTTCACCTCCTTGTCCTTGTAATTTTTTCGGTCTTGTCTTTTTGAATAATCTCAAATTTGTTCAGTAAGGTTTTTCTTCTACAATTTAAAGCCTGCGTAACATTGTCCTCACAGGTGTATTTTAAAAAAAGCAATTCAACTTCTTGCTTGACTTCTGTATTTGGGAGTATGTACCTTACACTCCCCTCCTGTGGAGACGTCCCTTAACTTTTCCTGTTTGTCGTTTCGCTAACAGGCAAACAGCAAGATGTCTGCAGCACAGAAGGCTCTGGCCAAAGTCGATAAGACTGGAATGAAATCCATTTCAGCTTTCTTCAGCTCCAAACCTAAAACGTCAAAATAAAGACTTCTTCTTGAAAGAGATTTATACAGTGGTTATTTTTATGTCAAGCTAAAGGGTCTCCTGTTTGGGTTTTTTTTTTAGTAGTATAGTATATGCAGGGCATGCCTGTGTGCACGGGGGAGTGTGATGAAGAGGTCTGTGAGCTAGCGTGGGCCGGAGCTGTTACGCCTCAGTGGGGCAAGGCAGTACCATGCAGGTGTTCCAGCCCGGGTCAGGAAGACAGCCTGGCTGCTTGAGCAGCCTAGCTATGGTCCCGTGAGCTGAGAAGCGAGGTTCAGCGTGGTGCCGTACTGTACCGCTGCTTGTTCTAGGGCAAGCTCAGCCAAGGCCGCCGCAGTGTTTTCTCCATTGCACTCCATTCCAGGCTGGAAACATGCCCTCCTTCGATGAGCTTTTAAGGAGAGGTTTTTTGTTCATAAAGAGCATTATTTTTTGAGATTTTTACCCAGTATAACACCCATATAGGATGGCATCATTAGATTTTTATGTTGACCCAAAGCTAAGTGCTGATGTAATCATTTCTATTGGTGGCAATTTGTCAAGGCAAGCATAGTGTCTATATTGGGATTTTGATTGTTTTGAATATGCTACAAACAAATTGCAATGACTGTCAATGTGCATGTAATGCAATAAAGTGCTTTGTGTAACCAATTTGTGCTTGTTTTATTTGCTGGATGTTTCAAGAGCTAGATTAGGCTTCAGGACATTTCTTAAAGGATTTTGGTGTTTTCCTGTGTATAAATTTTAATCCTTAAAGAATTACAACATCACTTTGGGCTTACATGATAAATCTCTTAACACATAGCAATATAGGGGTATTTTTATGTTCAGTTCCAAGTTCAGTAGGTCCTTACAAAAATAATTAAGGAAATACTTATTTAAAGGCAAAAGTAGAACTAGGACTTTTAAAGAAGCCTGTTTGGAACTGGATGTGTAATTCAAAAGCTTATATCTGAGTGTCCTGGATAAGGTTTAGTTTTATGAAGGTTTGCACAAGGTAGGACTGTTAATTAAAGCGCGCTACTCACTCCTAGGTGTGTTCTTTTCTCATTACAGAATATTCCTAGGTCGTCAGAGGGATAGCCATCTGCTGTGTTGCAACTTCCCTGATTCACAGTTTAGAAAAAGAGATGGAGTTTTCATTTGTGTAGGCCTAGCCAGTTCTGCACAACACGAACTCATGGTTTCATCTACCCATAGTGGCACTGACCATTGCTGTGCATCAACTATACTGTGTGTTTTAGAACGACACTCTAAAATTGCCTCATTCTTTGCTACTTCAGCTTGGTAGAGAATCTTCCTGTATCCCTTGATAATGAGGAGTTTCAGAGAAACTAGGAGTTTCTTCATTTTTAGTAACTATGCCATGTTTCACCTTCAGACTTACTTGCTGCCCTTTACAACCCCTGGATTACAGCGGCGTCTGTTAGGATAAAGAGTTCTGTGATACTCTTTTCCAATCAGAAATGAATGAGAAGCCTTGCTGTGTGCTGTATGCAGTTTTGCAATTGTTGTTGGGGTTTTTATGCCTTTCAAACCAGAGGTTTTTTTCAAAGTCTTGGGCATAGTTTGTAAATGGGGAAGTCACTGTGGTTGGAATTCCAGATAGAGGACAATATTGGGAAATCCATGGAAATGTTATCTCTTATTACAGAGGGATTTATTTACCAAATGTGGCTGGCCTCCCAAGTGGATTATCTAGAAACAAAATGAAGTTCCTTAGAAAAAAAATGCTTTTCAGGCATTTAGAGGAATCACTACTGTAAGTCTTCCTTATCTCTGAAAATCAGCCCATAGTACTAGTGTTTTGAACTTAGGTTGTTCTCAACTTCTGCGTGGGATTCAGATGCAGAGACCTGACTGATTTTACGTTTAGAATCATTATCCCAAGCCATTTGGTGCTTTAATAATTCCAATCATTAATGTCAACTTTCTGAAACAATATAAGGGTGGGAGGAGCAGCAGAGACATGAACAAAGCACAGGAATTGCTACATGGAGCCACAGAGAAGTTCCTGTTACACCACACTGCCTTGTTCAGCGATCCTCAGCAGAATTTCACCAGCCCTATCAGGAAAGTTTCCTTTTCTGACATGAACGATCAGTCAAGTTTAGAAATTAATGGTAGGCGTCCACGTATGTGACAATTCCTATGTGCACCGCCTTTACAACCGCCATCTTGCTCTTTTCCTACCTGACTTGTCTAGGCTGAGAGTGAAGGACCAGCCCTATAGCAGCACGTATTGGTTTATCCAACAGGTCTTTGCTACGATGGGAAAGAACTAGCATTTGGTGAGCCCAGAATGAGCAGTTGCGGTCATGAACGGGATGGGTTAGATTCTGAAAAACACTTAACCTAGCCCAGCAGTTTATTTGGCAGTCAGAAACCCCACCCCCAGCTTTCTATCAGCAGGAGAAGGGATGCACCAGTGATGACAGCTTTTGAAAACCACTCAAGGGGCAGAATAGTGTTATGAAAAGAAAAAAGAAGAGGCACATTCTGTCGTGTTAATGGAGAAGTTTTGTGCAGTAAGCAACTTCGTGGGCAGTGTCTTGGTAAATGAGAGGAAAGGAATTGTGTTTCTATTAGTGGAAAAGCCAGTTCCAAGCTCTAGACGATGTTGAGAAGGCAGACAAGGATGGGTTGGACGTTTCAGAGGAAAACCAAGGGTGGGAGAGAGTTACATTAGAAACAGGAACTGTAACAGAGACCTGGTAGAAGCTCTTCTGCTGGATATTTAACTCTTCTAATTTTAGGGTTTTGGATTTTAATAGTTTGGAAATTTTGTGAAATAAATTTTGGAAATGCGTCTTTTAATCAACTGAACAGTTCAAGAACCTTTCTTCTAAGAAAAAGTCCCAGTTTCTCAGGCCAGGATTTAGGACAGAAGGAGGACAGTTCTGATAGAGACAGGAGGCCTTTGTGCTGGTTCTGATCTGGGGTACCAATGGGTTTGTTTCTTTCTCTGTACGTGACTTTCACACCTGCCGTTGCACGCAAGGACTAAGTCTAGAGTTCTTCCCCTGCGCACAGACGTGTTGCGCTCTAGTGCGTCACATCTCGACTTCAGCTGTCAGCTACACCGTAACTTACAACAGTAGTAATTTTATTAGCGACTGTGCTTTTGGTTGATTAAGAAAAAAAAAATAAAATAAAATAAGCCATTTCCAAAAGCCATTAGAGCTTTCACGTGAAAACACAAACTTTTCCCTTTATGAAAGAATGAAATACATTTAGTAACTTTGAAACTTCCTCAACATGTAGCTGTAAGAAGTTATGAAGAGCATGTGGTGCCAAATACATAAAACAATATTTCCTACCACAACGAGGATTTAAATATAGTTACTGTGCCTGGCCAGCAGTAGCAGTAGGTCATTATGAAGTGCTGCTTTGCTGTTTCTTCCTTGGTTAGCTTAGTATGAAACAATACGCCAGCACCATCACAGAAACGGGCTCTTACTTTATTTCTTTCTGGCATTAACATGCCATCTCTACATGTTCATGTAAATATCTGGTGAGTTGTGATGCTTTTACAGTTGTTGTTCTGGGATTAAGAGTTCTTACATTTTAGACTTCACGTTGCAAATGATTGACCTCATCGGGCACGGAAAACTTCCTATGGAAATACAAGCACTGACTTAGGGATATGTAAGGGTTGGACTCGCACACCATTTGCAGTCTTAAGTAATAAACTTAGTTCTGTTCGTAGAAGTGACAATTGGTGATTTGAATATTTTCAGTGGAAAAGGCGGAATCTGTATTCTGATCTGAAATTTAGAAGAGTTCAGTGATGCTTGTTTTCAGGTGTTCAGTTGCGTCTGTCTTGACCTTTTTTAGGGGGAAACTAAATGCATGGATGCTTATTTGAATCAATTAAT